AGTTTGTAAAATAAGAAAGATGGCGGCCGAGTCACGAAAAATTTTTTTTGGCTTTCCAGGATGTTTTCTGGAAATTTTCCTCATGCTGTCAACCCCTCACGGCTTAAGGTCAAATTCAAAGGAAAACAAAAAAAACAGTTTTTATCGTATTCCTTGATTTAAAGACTTTGGAGGTTAAAAAGGCAGACAAGAGAAGTCACCATTTCAGGTGGTACCCTTCACAATTTCTACAAACTTTGGTTTTAATCTTTCCGTGAAAGTCTACACATGTGAAAATCCATACAAAAATGGCGACTTTTTGGTCAGTTTTTACCACCAAAAAACCAGTGAAATCTGATTAGCTGGCATTAATCGAAGGTAGATTTTGAATTTCATGTCCGATCTTGATATTTATTTCCGGTGCTTAATTCCCATTGAGAATTGGCTACGGGGAACACACAATCAGAGACAAAAAACTCTCATACCAGATCGTGGCTCCAATGTGGCTTGAGCCTGTTAAATTTCCGGATGCAACCGGGAATTCTACGCGAAGATCAGTCACAATGAAAATATGACACATTTCACACATTTATCAAAAGTGATATATATAACATTATATAATGCTTATAATCTGGACATTTATTGACAGCCGTGCTGGCCAACTTGCCGTACAAGACTCCACTGCTTTAAAACATTGCAACTTTCTCAATCGCGTTAACATGCCTTTAAACTGTCAATTGTGAGCATTGAGTAGAATGTCCTTCAAATTGGGATATGTAATATCCCGAGGGGGGGGGAGTGCCAGCAAGGGGTGGGGATTTGATGCCTGAGACTATCCCCCTGTCGGGCTTTTGATCGTGCGAAGCGACCCCGGGGTAGGGACATTTGACTTTGACCGACAGAAGCCTGGTATCAATTTAGAAGCGGTTACCAAGTCATGCATGACTGTTGGAGAAAGGTATGAAGTTTTCGTTTGTTTTAATCACCATAATTCGATACTTTAAACTGTCATCTAAACAGGTAATGTCTATTTTGAGAAAGTTTTTATCTTCAAGTTCCCATCTGATCGTAAAACTTGATTGAAATCAAATTCCACCATGAAAGTCAGAGGATTTTTTACGGGTAACTGATCCGACCTGTTCCAACATGTTGAGCAGATGTTATAAAGCATTTTACGTCTCATTAATATTATAATAGCACAGTCAATCTTCCTGGAGTGATTTTGTTGTTCCACATAGGAGATGCTAGTGGAGAGAGAAAATACTTAATTACGGCGAGTAATTTAACGGAGCTTACGTTAACGATAAATAAAAGTAGTAAGAACGTACTTTTGAAATAATCTTTTAATTTGTTTTATATTGTGTTATAGTATTGTTTGTTTAGATTTTTTCCCCTGGAGTGGGGACTTTTTTGACACTTTTGATCGACCTTTCGTTTCCCACCCTGGGGAATTTGATCCAAAAATGTCAAAATTTGTCAAATCCCCACCCCTTGCCGGCACTCAACCCAAACCCCCCCCCCCCCGATGGGGTTTACATTGATAGGTGCATAATAAACACAAAAAAGTCAGTGCTTTTTTGCAAAATACGACCTTTTGAATTTGGACAAGAACAAATTAATGACCCTTTTTAATGAAGATAGAAAAACAATTATAAAAAGTGGCCTGAGAAAGTGAATCTGCTTTTTCTGCAAAGTGAACACTTCCATCCTTCAGCATATCCAAAGTTTAAGGTAAAGCGTTTGAAGCATTTGTTTAACAAAACGATCTATGGCAGACTTTCAAAAAAGTCCTTCGCCCGATTTACTATGGCCAGGACGAAGCACTTTTTATACCTGATTGGCGCCAGTTTTAACAACCCAAAAAAGGGCCGCAGCACTTAGTTATAGACCAATCAGAGTAGCTCTTTAGGACCCTTGGGGATAAAGTTGTCACTCACAAGTAATTAAGGGCATTGAAATGTGACTTGTCCATTGCAAAAGTGATAAAAAGCCATGGGATATTCAGAGGAAAACAATCAAAGCATGTCTGTTTTTGCATCTGCTCCAACTAGAACTGGGAAAAGTCTGACTTTTGAGCTGGCCCCATAAGCTTGCGATTGTTTATTTGGCGAGGATTGCAATGCCCTCGTGTTGGTGATTGTTCTACTAATGTCTTTGATAGATCAGGTCTCAAACCTAAATTTCTGAGACATTAAAGCATTGTACGTAGATGATTGCTAAGAGCAGCTAGAGGATATATTAAACGCGCAATAGATACTAGTGCCCTCTCTTCCTCATGGAAATTCCTGAAACCCACTTGTGTAATTTTGCATCTCTGCATAACAGCGCGGCCATGATCGAACTGTCAGTCAAAGGGAGATCATCAGGGCTACAAATAGGGCCCTTTTGTTGCTATTCAGATTCTCTTGCTCGTATCACGATCTGAAGAGCGCACTTCCCATTTTACTGAGTTAACCCCTCTTTTCCCCTCTGCGATGGCCTTCTGCTCTCTCTCTCACACCTGTTTGATTGTTTTTGTCACAGTGGAAGCGTTGGAGTCAAGGACTCGCAATTAATAACCTAAAACCCCCAAATGCGAGTCACACCACTCTCTATTTGTGGATGTAAAAAGAAGTTCTTGGGAGTGCATTATTTTTGGGCTGTACTGCAGTACCATGAAAATTTTGCACTTCTTGTGATCTTCAGTGGTGGCAAATTCCAAAATATACAGTGGTAGGTCAAGAAATTCATCAGAAGTCAAGTCCCAAAGTCATTTCGTTCGGAGTGGCTATTCAGTTTTCCAGTTCCACGAGCAACCAGCCAAATTCGCAAACTCTCTATTTATGGAGCAAAACGCAAATGGAAATTCTTTTTAACCCTTCAAGCGAGACAAGTTGCGCTCTCGCAACTTCGTCGCTCGCTCAGCCACTTCATGGCCTAAAAAGCTCGCTCCACTCACTAAAAAACTTGTGAAGTCGACTTGTAGCAAGTCTGAATGATCTAGGGGGTTTCAAACATTGCAATCATTTGGATTGTGTCAATTTCTTTGAATTTGTGATCTTTAATTTTTGTAGTACAATACTATGGTCTCAGCAAAACAAACCATAGAAAACATTGAATTTCTGGCACAATAGATATCTTGATTCCAAGGAAAGCATGGCAATTATTTACTACTTTAATTGTAGTAAATATTTGCAAAAGCCTTTAGTGAAAATATTCCTTACTTTACCTTGGTATGTTTTTTGCAAAGGCGCCCAAAGTTGATTAAGTCACACAGGGCTCTTTTGCTAAACATACCACAATCATTCCGCGCTTCTTATATCAAAACTGTACACATTTCCTCACTAAATGGTTACCAATTTGCACAAGATAATTTTATATTTACCGTTTCAAAGTTCTTTGATCCTTATTTTGCAAAATGAGCTGCAGTTCGCATTTTAAAAAACCATAGAGGTATTTTCAGCTTTCTTTTTTGCTTACACTTGTTATCTATCTATTCTTTTCAGTCATTGTAAACCAGTAAGAACGAAACAGTTTTAGGGTTTTGAGTGTTCAAAACTATGTGCCTTAAATATAAACTACCGATGAATCACTGACAAATACGGAAAGCAGCACAGCTGTTTTATTGTACATACAGTGCTTCTGATATCTGTCTCAGAAAATCCCTCGAATTGACTTTTTTCCACAACCTATCAGAAGCCCTGTACGTAATAAATATTCATGTGTCTGTGATCTCGCAAACGTTTGATGAACCGATGATCATTTGTCAAACTCCTTGGCAAACGGTCACTCAAACTAGTGAAACAAACAAAAACTGTTAGAAACGATAGAAATCATAAGAAAACAATGCAAACGATGCAAACGAAAAAAATCCACTAAACAATAATGTAAATGATTCAAACACTAAGTGAAATGCCTTGCTTGACCTCGATCTGACCTGTTGAATAATTTTGTCTACCAAATTTCAATGAGATGAAAGTAAAAACAACTCACTGAGGGAAAAAAACTTGATCCTGTTGTTTTGCTCTGTAAAAATATGCACCTTGATTTTGAAGATTTCTCTGTACCGTTTCAGCTGGTATAGATTTTACCACAAAGAAGTTTTTTGTGGTTCGAAAATCCCACCACAAAGAGCTTTTTGTGGTTTAAATTTCTAACTGCAAAAGAAGTTCTTGTGTCTTGCAGGATTCAAGCACAAGCAGCCTGAAGGTAGCCACACGAAGTTGCCGCAGCTTGTGGATGTAAAAAGAAGTTCTTGGGAGTGCATTATTTTTGGGCTGTACTGCAGTACCATGAAACTTTCGCACTTGTTGTGATTTTCAGTGGTGCAAATTCCAAAATATACAGTGGTAGGTCAAGAAATTCATCAGAAGTCGAGTCCCAAAGTGATTTCGCTCGGAGTGGTTATTTTTCCAGTTCCATGCACGAGCAACAAGCCAAATTCGCAAACGAAGTACATGACCTACTCGCTTCTTTGAGAAAGTGGACTCTTAGCTACCATCAGGCTTAATGATACTTATCAGGTAGCCACTTAAGATGAAAAAAGGCTCTAAACTTACCAAACACTGCATCCAAACCATACTTGAGCCGCTTTTTAGGTCAACAAAGTGAAATGACTACGTGGGAATGATGTTTCCAGGAAACTTGAGCCTTTAATGTTTTAGAACAGCACCACTTTCCATGGTAACTCCAAATAACGAGTCAAAAATCCTATGCATTGTTTATATGTAGAAAATTACTGAAAAACCACAAAAAGTCTTGGGCATCAATGGGTTAAAAAAGAAAAAGAGATACTCATTTCTTAAAAACTAGTCTTCATATTGAAATAAACAAACATGTCATGCTAGAAAAGGACGATCGTACATCATTTGATTTTTTTCTGTTGTTGTTGTTGCTACTCTTCTTTGGTTGCTTATTTGTTTTGTTTTGTTTCTCAGAAATTTTTCTGAAAAGAAATATTATCTTGCTAAGTTTAAGAATGGAAAACAATAAATAATTTTAATTATTAGTATAATAAAATGATACAAAATAATTAATCAATTTCAGCTACCTTCAACACTTTCAGCATCGCACCTATCACTCATCATCCTCAAAATGACATCTTTGAATTGCTTACATTGCATGTCCCAAGGGAATGTCTTGTTGTAGCTTTCTCTGAGTTCAACAGCAGTGTTGAGTCTTCCATGCGGCTTCTTCTCAGACAGAGTTCTGATTTTCCGGGACCACTCTTTGGGATCTTCTGATTCAATGATCACAGACATTCCACCATCAACTTGCTGTAGAGCTTTCGCTATTCCAGATTCACTAGTAAGAAGAACAGGAACACCAGCAGAAATGGCTTCGAGGGCAATCAGACCAAAGCCTTCGGTACGAGAAGGCATAGCAACCAAGTCTGCTGCATAGAACATCTCTTTAACTTCATCTTGATTACAGTAACCGCGTACTGTTAACTGCCTCGTTTTTATGCTTGTATGTTTTAAAAACCACTCCATTATACTTTTATGTTGGCCTTCAGGTGAACCGACAAATGTCATCTTAAACTTCTCTCCAAGTGAACTTAATGCATTGGCAATAATATCATAGCCCTTTAGAGCCAGATCTTCATAAGATCCTCTTCCAAAGACAAAGACACTGAACTCATCAAGACTATGCGAAACATTGGCAAATTTCTGACCTGAGATATAGACAAATTTATCGAAAATTCCAGGGGTGATGATGTGAACTGTCCTGTCTGGGAGACATCTACTGTATTTTTGCTGTAGTCGTGAGCCGACAGCAACCACGGCGTTTGCTGCTTTGCAGAGTTTTATTTCCTCTTTATGCTTCTTCTCATTCTCTTCCACTGCATCTGTTTCTAGTGTTTGTTTGTACTTTCCAAGGTCTTCACAAAATACATGTACAAACTGAACCCATTTACAGTTTGTAGTTTGTACAAGGCAATAAGCAGGAGTACCAAACTTTCGCCCATGGCCGATCACAACATCAGGATGTGGAAGCTCTGAAGGAGGGAGTCTCAGCCATTCCAGACGGTCATGAGTTCCCGGTACACTCTTTGCTGTTATTATATTCACACCATTTTTTCTGGCATCTTCTCTGTCCGATTCACTGCTCTGACAGACATAGCAGAAAATCCCAAAGTCATCCCTCGATGTTTTGGCAAGATTTATGGCAAATTCTCTGTTAAATGTTGGCAAACCTCCTTTGCTGGAGTTCCACTCATCGCAAACAAACAAGACGTTAATGCGTCTTGATAAACCTCTATCTGACGTGCTTGCTAAACTGACAGAACCTTTATCAGCTTTCTTTGTACCTCGGCTACTCTTGGAAATATTTGACGCAAACATATCACGGCCGCCAGCGAGTGCATATCGCTGCCCGCTAGAGGTTCGTCACGCGTTCCTGCCCCTTGAGAACTTTCGCGCTTCACCTACTTCCTTATTATTAGGGCGTCGCCCAAATACCCACATATAAGAACCTAAAATTTAGAACCTGTTGGGCTAAAATTTTCATTTTAAACCCCCTTTTCATAAGAACCTATTTAGCCTAAAAATTTCAATAGGTTCTTCTTTTGCAAAAATGATTCCTTGCTAGCAGAGTCGCTTCGATCTTTCCTAGATAGGAAAGATCAAAGCGACTCTGCTAGCAGGGTACAAAAATGAAGGCAGGGAAGAAAATACAGCCGGAAAAAAAAATTAAGTCTAGGTTTCAGTTAGTAAGATTCGAAATGTAACATAGCATTTTATGGATGTTGCAGCATGAAAGACATGCATGCTAGTACTTTGGAAAGATAAAATTAATGCATGGTTATTATCTAAACTTTATTTTAGATAATTATTTAATACAGCAACGCAACATATTGCAAAAAGAAAAACTGTTTGAAAGCAGAGGTCCTGACATACCAGCCAACTCTCCCGGTTTTCCCGGGAGTCTCCAAGTTTTTCATCATATCTCCCGGTCTCCCGGTTAGAGCACCAGATCGCCCGGGAAAAACCTACCGTGCCTTTTTCCAATTTTTTTTTCATCAATTTCGTTATTTTCGAGATGTCAGAAAGGAAAATAAAACAAGAGGTAAAGTTAGTGCTCTTATTTGAGCTGCTCTCGATCGGAAAACGTAAAAACAGAGCAATCAAATTGATATACAGCTATTTCGAGAAAGGTTGTCGGAAAAAATGTGCACGCGACAATCCCGAAAGGTAATATGGGATATGATCAATACACTGTTCCTGACGATTGTAGCTGTCGAACCTACTTTTGTTGCTTTCTTTTAGCACTCGCAAACACATTTTCATGGCCTTTCGTGCCAATTCTTTCAAATTTCTTTGAAGAACAGAGAACTCAAAACCACCCACAATGCCTTTCGCGATTGTCGCGTGCACTTTTTCCGACAACCTTTCTCGAAATAGCTGTATATTTAACGAGTATCGCAATTGGTCAGAAATCAACCAATCAAGTTGCACAATACATGGTAGAAAGTTGGCGCGGTTTTCGCACGCTGTTATCAGTCGAAGCGAAGAATCAAGATGGCCACATATTTCCGTTCTCTACAAAGAAATTTTTTAGGCGCCCTTCCCTTGGGTTTTGAGGGCGTGAAAACAAACACTTCACTTCTGAAAAATTCATGAATTGGAAACTTTATGGACTTTACGGAAACAAATTGGGGGATTTAGCTGTGCTAGAAAGCTTGCGGTCGCGTTTTGAAATTTCCATACAGATTGTCTCTATAAGTTTTTCCCGCGAAGCAGCCGATATTAGAGAATTGCTAAAAATAGTTCGCTGGAAAATAATTTGAGGAATGTATGAAATGTTCCGTTCCAAAGACTACAGGAGGCTTTCTAGGACAGCTACATCCATTAAAAATTGGTCCTTAAAATCCTTTTTCTAGTGCCTAAAGTTTCCAATTCATGAATTCTTCAGAAGCGAAATTTTATGAATATTATTTAAAATCAGATTTCCATATAAACCGGCTGTTCACCTTTCCATTAAGATGGCTTCCAAACCCATGATAAGATCTATGCAGGCTGCAAACTCACTCAAACCCGGCTTTGATAGACCACCTAAACTAGACTCAGTACTGCACTTCTTCTTGTTGTTTATGCGGAAGGAGGCTGTGAGTAAACGCGACGACAACTGGCAGCTAAATTTTTTTTGTATGATGTTTGTCGAAAAAATAAAAACTTTGTCTACCAAAACTTCTGAGTTCTCCGTCAATATAATTTAACAGCCTTTACCAATCAAAGCGACACAAACTGCAGAGGTATAAATTTGATTAAAAGCCGCTTTCAAATCAATAGTATGCGTGGCAAGCAAAAAAAAAACTTAATAACATACCCTGTCTACATGCATATGCGAAGCATGATTAAAAGCCATGGGGGGGCTCCACATTTGCATCATCTAAAAGGATGTGTGTTCTTTATAGTCTAACCACCCCTGAACTCACCACCTTAACCACGGACGTTCCGATCAGAAATCAAACTCATGCAGTCTTAAACTTGGGTACGCGATAGCTAATGAATTAAAGTTTACCAGTTGGTTGGCAGAGAAAACAATGTTTTGGCTGCAGTAGGTGATATATGATTTAAGCTTATGTTTAACTTAATGCTGGGAAAGCGATTTATAACATATCAAAACGGGTTTAAATGCCCTGCTTTAACCAAACGCAAACGGTTTTATTGCCGTAACAAATCGAAAACTACAGTCTACGGCCCATACTGATAGGCAACTTGGCTATTTTTTGTTGGTCTGCAGGTTTTAAAGATGTAAGGGCAGAAAAGCTCTTTCCGAGTGATGGCCCAAAATGTATAGAACCGAAGCAAACTTATGCCGATGGAAATTGTCTATATAGGGCCATGTCAAGGATCATAATTATGCGGTAATGAGGACAGACACGTAGAACTGCGCATGAGAACATTTATAGAACTTTGCAAGAACAAGGACAAGTATTTAAACGACTGCTATCTGAAAGAGTTAACTGGTTTGGATGACTATGTGGAGAACTTACTAGGGAGTAGCTTTGACTTACCGTCCAAATCAAAGGGAAAACCGAATACTGAACGTCAACGAGAGGGCTTTGAGGCAGGAATTGTCGATACAATCAAGCCTGGCACATATTCAACCATCTGCCATATTTTTGCACTCAGCAACATCCTGGGTTTTCCTATTCAAACTGTTTACTCGGAAGTTAAAGGTTCCCTCGTCAATCGGAATTATGTCAATGTCCTTATCACGCCTTCGCAGATGCAGCATCCGACGGTAGCATATATAATGTGGACACACACAAGCAATGTCGACCTTCATGGTTGGACACCAAACCATTTTGTTCCATTGATACCAGTACCACCATTAGCAGTGGATGCAGCTCAAGCGAAACCATCAGCTCCTCCCTTAACCGCAGCACCCAAAGCATCAAAGAAAAGAGCTCAAAGTCCACCCTCCGTACCACCCTCTACTTTCAAGAAATCTAAGTACACCGGATCGTTTTTGTATAAAACACACTTCTCCAACACGTGGACCCAGCAGTGGCCATGCATTGTTGCAATACCTGGAACGCCAACCAAGTTTCGTTGAACAGCATGCAACCGGCCCTTATCCTGTGCAAAACATGGGATCAAGGATGTAAAGGACCACTTGGAGACCAAGGCACATCAAAATAACGCTAAACAGCTACAAAAACAACCCACTCTGTTCCACACCTGTGCTTCTACCCAAAATGACATTGATAAGGTACCGCAGCTGTGCCTATATATGTACATGTACAATCTCATTCACGATTTACGTACGTTTATTGTCCCGTTTTACCTTGCCCTTTCATTTTGAATTAGACTAAACAGATCCGCGATGGGGCAATAAAACATAGTACCTAGTGTGTTAACCGACTAAATGCATGGTTTTTCCTTCAAAGGTAACTTCGGCCTAAGTAAAGACGGCCATGGCTATAGTCAACAACAACATCCCGTTTGCAGCAGCGGATACATTTAACTCGGTGTTCAAGGATATATTTGCCGACTCTAAAATCGACAAAGCATACGCATAAGGAAGGACGAAGACGACATGCATTGTGAACGGGGCGCTGAAGCCATATTTCAGGTAAAATAACATTTTCGGTTTTCAAGACCTATAGTTATTGCTGGCGGTAAGTCACTTCATTAACGCTAAGGGGTCAGTGCATATATTTTGTTAATTTTTTTTAACAGAAATTCCCTGGTGGAGGTTATGAAAAACGCCCCATATTCGCTGGCGACTGATGGTTCTAACGATAATGGTCTCAAAAAGATGAATCCCCTGACTGTGCAAATATACGATGTGAACTTAAAGCGGGTGAAGACCAGCTTCTTGGACATGTGCTTCAGGTGCTTATCAAGTGGGAGCACGAGAGTGTTTGGCCGGCCACAGAATCCCGTGGACAACGCTAATGTTAACCTGGGGAAATACAACTCCATCCTGACGCGCGTCAAGCTGCAGAACCCATCCATATACTTCAATGGATACCAGTGCCATGTTGTGCACAATACCTCCTCGGCTGCAGCCAAAGCATTCAATGCTGAGACCGGGTTTGACGTGGAAGACCTCCTAGTCGACATTTACTACTGGTTTGACTATTCTACGAAACGAAAATGCAAGCTGGTAGAATATACCGATTTCTGCGATCAAGAATACCGCAAGATCATCAAACACGTCAACACGAGATGGCTTAGCCTGGAGAAAGTGATCACTCGAACCCTGCTGCAGTATCAGTCACTGAAAACTTATTTTCTTTCAGAAGATGAGTCCGCTGCTCGATTCAAGAGGCTCCAGACTGCCTTCAGCAACCCCATGACAGAGGTGTATCTGCCATTTCTGCAGTCGGCCTTGCAGATCTTTGTTAATCTCAACCTCTTTCTACAAAGAGAGGAACCTCTTATCGGTGCCATGAACTCATCCCTGACGAGGTTTCTAAAGCTCCTTGCTGCAAGTTCATCTCTCCTGGGATCGTTAAGGCGTCGTCATCCTTCCAGCAGCTCCTTGATGTTGAGCAATATTTTCCAGGTATGTTGCGTCTTTTTTTCCTTTTCTTAATACCGTTTGATACACTTCGAGACCTGTGTGCAAATTAATATTTTTGTGATTCAGATTCCTTGCTCGACGTTGCCTTTGTGACAAGGACTTCACTGAACAACCTCGTCAGTTCCGGTGACATTGGCGCTGAGGATGAGAAGCGGTTCTATGTGGGGGCAAGGTCTTTCTTCAGCAAAGCTTTCGAGTATGCTGTCAGCCATATTCCAGTAAATGATGAGCTTCTCGTCAATGCTGAGATGGTGCCCTTTTAAGAAAGGGAAAAGCTTAAGCCCTCCATGGTGCAGTACTTTGTACCGAGGTACGGTACTAGTAACAGTACTTAAATCAACAAGTGATTGTTTGAAAAAAGTCTATAAAACCCCTAATTCCAGGAGCTCGAAAAAGTGTTTCAGTTAAAAATTCCTTAGGGCCAATGTGCTTAAATATACAAAAATTGTTTTCATCGGGAATTTTCTCCCCTTCATTTTCAACTTGTAGGCTGTGTGCACTTTGCTCTGCACAAGTGGCACTGCCCCTACGGCTGTCTCAGTGAAACAGTTATCAAACGTTTTCTCAATGACTGGTTTCTTTTATAGATTCCCAAACCTTCTGCCGTTCACATCAGCGAGAGATTCGGAAGAACTGACTCAGGAGGTCCACGACTTTGTTACAATGGACGAAGAGGAACTTCCGAACTCAGTCAGAGAGTTGGCCAAGGCCTCAGAAGCTAGCAGCCGGCTAAGAGCCGACATTGTTTGGGGCCATCTGCAAAAGATGACCACCCCGGACGGCCGTAAGCGTTTCCCTCGGCTCTCCAAGATTGCTCTGCTTGTCCTCACCATACCGCACTCGAATGCTGGTGAAGAAAGGGTCTTCTCTATGATAAAAAGAACTTAACGCCTTTAAGATCCTGCTCAGATCAAGAGGAAACCCTGGGCAGCATCATGACGATTAATGGAGTCCCTAAACAGCCCTGGAGGAAACGAACTTCCACCCAATGTACTGAAAGCAGCAAAGAGCGCTAGAGGCTGTATAACAAGGCCCATTCCTGATAACCAACTGTTGATGCTGCAATGTTTTCTAATTAAATCTCGGTTCCCAGGGTTGTCCTACGCGCAGATTCGATATTCTTCAAAAAATCAGAAGGATCATGAATAGTACTTGATGTTCCTTATTCCACTAGTCTTTTGTCCTTATATCGAAGCGGTCAACTGAAATCATTACATTAAGAAATCATTTAAGTATTGTTGTATTCATAGCTAAGAGTGATCACAATTGTGTAATGCGTACGTGGTAATGAAACTTAAAAGCAGTAAAACTAGCGACAAGTCTCACTGTGGAATCGTAGACTAACATAACGTTGTACTAAAACAAAAGAAGCTTCCTCTTCTTTCCGAGAATTTCTTTTTCTACTTGGTTTTCTAGATCTTCGCTACGAGGGGTGTTAGAGAGAACTGAAAAAGGAGCTATATGTTTACCCAACTAAAATAATGGGTCGGAAAGTTAACATCAATCAAATTTGAAGCTAATTACTTTCACAGCTTTGTCGGAAGTTGTTACAGATGCTTAGCTCAATAGACTTTTTTCGTTTGGGGGTAATGTTTTCTCTTTTCAAATCGTGTCATTCATCACATATACACAATGTTTCTTTGTTTCCATATATCTGTCGGTGCGTGGCAAAAAAATTAAAATAGAATGAAGAATTTCCACAAGTATCTCAGGTGAACTATATGCCCAAGTGGAACGGTATTTATTTATGATCGTGTTGTTATTATTCATTGTCGTAAGAAAGTGTGTCTGATAAACACACTCCAGGAAGTACCGTTGAACACTGACCGATTTTCTATACAAGACAACTATTACAATGCACGCTTATTACGCCCAAGAGGAAAGGTGCATTATGATCGTGTTATGATGATATGATGAAGCCTTTTGGTAAAAAAAAAACCCCTGCTTTACAATGGAAACTGTGATCCAATATGTGGACTTTTCAACACAGATCATAATGACATAGCACTAAGATGTTGAAAGGACATGTAAAACTTCAGAATCACTGAGCAACTATGAGAACAATAGCACAAAGGTAGGTACCTGTTCTAATCGACAGACGTCGGGAACATTCGGAAAGCCTTCGGGTGATTTTCGGAAAGTATTCAGACATTGTCGAAAATGACATTTTTTCAATGCAACGATTTCTAGACGTCTCCAGGTTTTTGTACTACGGGGGTTGGCAGGTATGGGTCCACGCAACGCACGTCGACAACGACCGGAGGTGAGTTACAGTGTACTGCGCAAACTGTTTCCCCGATTCTGATTGGCTAAAAGCACACGAATAATTAGTCGTATAAACATAACAACTTTCTTTAATTTTCCAGACATGTTTCGACGGTACATCCGTCATCTTTTGAAATCGCCGTTGAATTTAAAGCGCGCGCGATCTTACAAAGTTCGTCACATTGCGTTCTCAATATTGCGTACTAAAACAAAAACTTAAATGAGTGACGCTTGGTTCTTTACAGGGAGAGAGTCAGGTTAATGTGTTTCACCTGCTGGTTGAGATCGGGCTTCTCCCATTTTATAAACATGGATTCCTTAAGCTTCACTTGGTACTTAGTGGCTGCAGAGTCCAGGATCTCGAAACAATCCGGTGTGCAGGATGCTCTACAAAACTCTCAACTCTGCGGATGTTTAAAAACGTTCGAAGACCTGTCTGAAAGTAAGTGCTCGCGCACTAGTGTGGAGAAGTGTCGGCTGGTTTCACCAACATAACCAGCATTACAACTTGCACACGAAAATTTATAGACCACACGTGTGCGTAGCCCCTCAGGGACAACATCTTTCACATTAAAAAAGATTCCTGACTTTGAAAGTAGTAAAGACTAACCTTAAATCAATAGGTTACATAACCGGTTAGCAAGTTTGCGTATACTCCTCTGTGCCGTGACTGAGAAGTGCCCAACGTAAGGGATTTTTAAGAAGAACTTAGGTGTTTCCTGGGGCTCGACTCCTGAATAGGACTGTGTTTTCCCTCCCTTGACTGCTGTCCGAATATATTTAGAAATATATTTGTTGATAAGGTTCTCTGGGAAGAGATTCCTCCGCAGAATGACAGACAATTTTTGAAGGTCAGTATGGAACCCCATCCAAGTGTTGTTTATCTTAAAAGTTCTATGAATCTATGTATTGATTAACCCCAATTTGTAGGTAAAGGGGCAAAAACTCAGATAACTGGTGAGCAAACCTGTGAAAGTCTTTTTCCGGTAAACGGTCCTTACATCCGACCCTACTCTTACCCGGGAAGGGAAACTACAGCGATATCTCAGGGAACTTAAGAAAAAAGGTCACTTTGATCCTGACGTCTGTGAGACCATTTATCCAAGTGGATCTCAGCCTGCTAGGATATATGGTCTCCCTAAGATGCACAAACCACGAGCGCCAAATTCCACCCCTCCATTTCGGCCCATAGTTTCCTCCATAGGCACCGACAACTACAGCTTGGCCAAATAATTAAGTAATCTCCTCCAACCTCATATTCCATCCACATTTATTGCTTCAGATTCCTTCACTTTTGGGAAGGAAATCAATGATCTATCTTTGCATGGGATGTTTATGGTCTCCTTCGACGTTGAAAGCCTCTTCACCAACATCCCTCTAGATGATTGTATTAACCTTGCCGTCAAATATATTACTGAGGGTAATCCAGGGTTGAAACTTAGTAAAAATGAGCTTAAAAGGCTGTTTGAGTTTGCTACCAAGGAAACTCACTTCCTGTTCAAGGGTAACTTCTATGATCAGGTGGATGGTGTAGCCATGGGGTCCCCCCTTGCCCCTGTTGTCGCCATTATAGGGCTGTCCACAAGTTGCTCCAATTTTCTCAAAAAGTTGCTCAAAAGTTGCTCCAAAACTCTAAAAGTTGCTCAACAGCTGCCCCAAAATCCAAAAGTTGCTCAAAACTTGCTTTCAATTTTTTAGTGTAAGAGATTGATTAACAACTTAAGGTCTCGGTAAATG